ACATCAACAATGATGAAAGTCCACTGATAATGTCGTCAGTTGCTCAAGTTTACCGTCAGCTGTCGTGTACCATAGGTAGGAATGACAGAGCCATTCGCAGCGCGTAGTCGAAGCATCATAGGTTGGTGAGTACTATCAGCCTTTGTGACCAAGAGAGGGCTCGGGGGATGTGGCGTTGTGAAATAAAAGAACGGTCTCGATACTTGAGACGGCTATGAACCCAACAGCCCCGATCTCCTTAAGCCTGAGGGTGATTAACGTCGAGGTCAATGTTTGCGTGTGACGTAGAGGCAACTCTGTAGCTGTCTCGCGAGCTAACTCGCGCTACTATTTTGTCCGCTATGAGGGCAGATGGGTTAAGTGGCGTGTCCTCAAGCAGAGCCGGGATCGTAATCTGCACGTGTGCTGGTAGTGCCTCGAGCCACAGTTCCTTTACTATGTCAGAGTCGGTTGTCATAGGTCCTGCCTATGATTGCAGGCTCATGAGGAGGTGGCTAGGTTTAGCATCACCAAGGGGGTGACGTGCTAACACTGCTCTCAATCGTTTCTTCCTCCCAAATAAAATATGCTCGTTCGTGCTTACTGGATATTTCCTGAATCCAGTAATGGTCCATACGTTACCATTAGAGTACTAACTGCACATTTCTGAATATTATTAATGGGCACATAGAATACATTTACTCCTGATTGTCACAACTTGTCAGTCATATTTCTTCACAAATGATAATTTATTGAAACAATTACTGGACTTTAAAATACGATTTTATTAAAATATGTTTGACTAAATGATTCGTTGTACATGAATCCTAAATACTTGAATCAATAACTTACAAAATGTGTATATATCGGTTAGTTATTCAAAATATTAATATATTTCGGGAAAGGTTTGTTTACAAAAGATCTCTCATGTTGTAGACACAGAGATATATATTTATTTATCCTATCACATGATGACTTTTGTGTTAGTAACAAAGGCAGAATGACAATGGAATAACAAATTTTTAAATAATCCAGTGTCGGAATAAAATTGTAATAAAATTGGCACATAATTGAACCAGGAAGTTTTCTGAATAAATATTTACCATGACATTCAAATTACAGAAATTAGGCCACATGAATATATGCATACTGAAAATTATTCTAAAAACTACAAGGTCTTGATAAATGTAATGAAATGATAAGACGTCGAAATGATCATGATTCTTCGTACTTTGTCTAACCAAGTATAATTGTTTTTATATCTCTTTCTGGTTATCTGTACATTTTGCGTTCATCATTGTCTTTTTATGAAAATTTCTGACCGAATACTGATTTATTGTTTTACGTTTAAGTGCAAAAGTTGTCAACTGTACAAACAGGCTTTTTCAGGAGTGCTGCTCCTGACGGAAATCTAGTTTTCTAATTTCATTATTAAAGATATATCTACTAACTTTAATGCTGCAGTTTTTCGTTTCAGCAGAAGCGAAATCAAGCACAGAAACCAACAAACGGATCATCCTACCATACATAAAAGACATATCGGAGCATAAAGCACGACTACTGAAACCAACTTGAATAGGTGTGGCACACAAACCAACAGAATTACCTCAATCAATCCTATGTAGACCAAAGGACAAAATGACAATAGCAGAAAAACCAAATATCACCGCTCAGACTGTGAAACACACTATGTAGGACGAAGTAAGTGGACGTCCTCTTCAGTATCGTCTGCGAGAACGTAGATTAGCAGTCAAACGCCTTACATTAATACATACAAACAACTATGCACGTACATTCGTTTGGAACAAGTTTGAAATACTGGATGAGGGAGCACGAAGAGCACTAGGGAATTTTCCGAAGCTTGGCACTGTGGTCAATCAGAAGTCAACAAACATATCGACATTGACCCAATTTATCAACCAATCAGGAAAATCTCAGGCGATCATAGGATCAAGAAACATATCAAAGGGGGGAAGCAATTAAAATAAAGGTGCAAGCAACGATAAGTCAACAAAAACAACCAATCAAGATCGAGGTTAGCAGAACAAGCTACAGGTCAAACGTGGAGAATTTGAAATGCTTCACCTCTATCTGAAGTTTGTGCTGATGATGCTGGTCAGAAGAACAATGAAAGCTCCACGACCAAAACATCCAGCTCAGAGAACGAAACTCCACCACAAATTCGAATACTGGCAAGCCGAATGAGTGGTTATAAGTACTTTTCATTGCCTGGACTCATAATCTACACGATCATACGAGAAGCAAAAGTTGGCATTTGGCCATAAATACACAACCAAGATATATTTTACGTAATCTGAGTAACAGATATGCAACTAGGTGACTGGAATAAATGGATGGTACAACAAATAGTACCAATTATTGAATCTATTGTGACTTATGATTAGGATTACATATGTAAACCCACCAATCAACTCTGAGTAAAAACACTCATTTACAATATAAGGACTAATAAGCTAAAGAATAATCATTTAGGTTTCATGTCTACTTCTCTTTTTACTTGGGAAAGGACATATTTCCGTGAATTTTCGGCTGATCTGATTCCTAATGTTTGATATGTGTGCAATATCTAGCACTTACACGTTTATATTGTGAGTGAGTGGTACATATAAGAGCACAATTCTCTCTGAGGATTTTATTTAGAGCTCTAACTTCTGTTTGCTTTATCATCGGGCAAGTTGGGATACAACAAAGCAGTATACTAACATAATTCCTTTGAGAAAGCATTAGCTGACTAAAATGAATTCTCCAGTAAAAATTACATTCTTACACGCTGAAGCAATACACTAAATGAATAGAAAAAATTTTCAAAATGCTGCATATTGCTTTTTATTAAGCATTGGAAAGTGAAAGATTATCCCTTTACATTATTTCTGCATGTATTATTTAAAAGAATTTACAAATATTGTAAAAATATAATTCAGTTCCATTTTCAAATGAAGAACAGCAATGATAAGGCTTGACAAAAACTCTCTTTTCGGCATGAATTGAATGCTCCAGTTCATTTAATCAATAAAGGTAATTAGAATCTCTGAACGAGTCAAGCATTAGTCAATTTTGAACTCAAGATTATCATGACAGAATTTTTCCCTAATCTTAGTTGTATTCTGTAGTGCCTCCACATATATTCCAGTTCGCTTACATCTAACTTGGTTAAGCTCTTTCGATTAATTTATTTAACCAAGCCATTTGTATAGCAACAATTTATATGTACCATTCGTTCTTATTATTGTCTGGTTTGTATGAGCTCACATGACATGTTCCACTTGTCATTTGACATTGTCAATCATCCGTCGCTTTTATTCATGTGTGTGCACGCCTATTTCGCTTGTCATATGTCTGCCTTATTTTTGTCTGACTATATATTCTTAGTCATGCTCAATCTCTTTGAGTTGGCTCTTTGCCTTCTCCAACGCGCTTCGCCTATCCATTCGCTTCCTTCGTTTTATTCACTGCTTCTCCGCTTCGCTTTGTGGTGTGTCCCAAATAAACGTATTCATCACTTTGTGTTCATCTTCAGATTTATTAACCGTCAGACGCTATTTGGCAAAGATTGTCTGAACGAGTTAATTACCGAGCTTAAGAACACTCAGTAAATCGACACACTACAAATGTTGAGCCCGACGTTTCCAGGATTAATTTGACGATTCCGGCGACAAATCGAATGCAACCAACCAGTTGGTAATCTCGAGAACAAATCGGACAGAACCACTAACTGGAAATCACAACGCCATACAGCGACAAAGCAGCTCAGGAAATTAATGAATTCGCTGAACGAATCGACGAATCAGATTCAATATACAACACAGACAACGCACTCTCTCATCAGACGAAAGCAGCAAACCCACTTCAGCGGTTATATGCACATACAAAAATCGTATTATCTTATTATCATTTCGATTACGTATTAACTCGCTGCATGAATCCATTTCTCGAATTATCCAATTATCGTTATCATTATCGTATTAATGTGAAAGAAATTAGATTTATTACCATTCTTATCGCCAATTATAATCTTACGTAACCTGAATCATAATATCATTTCTAATGATTTCATGCATAACAAAACTCTAATTTGCATCCGATTTCTATTCATACTCCTCTTGTTATGTAACTATTCGTGTTAATTGACTGATTATGAAAATTCATCTTGGTTTTAACTTTGACCTTACAAAAGTTATGTAACTAACTGAATATCATATTTTTAAATTGTCTCATTCTCATCTAATTCGTATTGACGTGCTATTGATTTGTTCAACACATATATTAGTGTAGAGCCTTGATGAAGAACTAATTGAAAAGAAATAGTTCTTTACTCATTTCGTCTTATTAATGTCTCAATGGAAATCTCTAATAAATTGAGATTTAGCGTTGTCTACAAAAATAATAGCAAGTAAGCTATAAAATAGATCCAGCTGTCAGATAATTGATTGTTTATTAAAACTGAATGTGTAAGTTTGCAATTCAGCAGATAAAAAGGTTACATAGATACTCTGTACGAATTTATTCTGAATATGGAGATTAGGTTTGTTGGTATGGATAGAGAATAAAAAGTGAAGTCTATAAACAAAAGCAATTTTGGCTGAATATGAAAATTATTTTTACCAATAAACGCTCATCATCCTCTTATGCTCTTTACTCAAATATGAATGATTTTGTTCAGAAAAGTAATGATGAATTTGCCTAGTTCTACGTTGATTGTAACAAACTTCAATAAGGATTAAACTGTCTTTCGTCATATTGTTCGCCCCCTTGTATAGTACAATTAGCAATCCATCTTATCATATTAGAAAGGATATTATTAGAATTATTAGCTTGAATCAGTAACTTGAATTCAATATTTTAACAGTATATATTATCTAATTAAAAGTTCCTTTCACAACTTACAGATAAAATGACACGTTTAGTTTTATCTCATCTCTGAAATATGAGTGGGTTGATCATACTATCTAATTTGTTATTGGTCATTTAATTAGTGATTTATTCACTTTTGCTTATATAGTAATATGTATTTTAGGTGAAGGTTCTCAAATTTAATCTAGTGGATTGATTATGATGCTGTTGTACGTATATTTCATTTCCCTTGTAATAATAAATGTAAAGGGATCAGGAAGTAAGTCTCTAGCTAGTTTATTATTTCCGTGATTTTTAACTGTGAACGGCTTTTCAAAATTTATTCATTGTAACAAAAATGTAGGTATTGTATAAAGATATTTTCAATTCTATGATTTAATTTACATTGGTAAGAGTAGACTTAAGGAAATGCAGGCAGCATACAGAGAATGATGCATTTGATTTGAATATTGTCAACATGGTAGAAATAAAAATCAAATACCTATCTAATGTTGTTTCATTTTAGGTTATTTAGAAACAGCTGAAGTTTATGAATTCGTTTTAGTAGCTTCAATGGTTGAAATTTCATTGTAGGATCAAATGCAGATAAATATCTGTCGATTCTGATACATCAAATGTTTTTATTGAATTGATTATTGTTTCGTTCAAATAGGCAAACTAGGATTTTAATATTTTCCGCCATCACAACTTGCATATTGAATTTGTCTAATAGGTTAGATGCAAATGATGTACCCCTACTGGATTTGACTTTTACTTTCGGAATTCAACACATTATTATAATTATTATTATTGAATTTCTTTTTAATTCACAAATTAAATGACCTTACTAATTCGTGCATTAACCGAATTGAAGAATATCTCATTTCAAGGATCTGAGTCTATTGTGATGATCATCTTCTGGTCACGACAGTATCCTAAAAAAAAAGAAATAAGATGTAATGATGTGATGCTTAGAAGTATATGAATCAAGAATTAAAGATCTGCACAAACGAATGTATTGTATTTAGAATTCGAAATCAAGCATTCCACAACAACAAGAAGTTACTAGTTCATTCAAACGCCATATCCGCCACAGCTTAAATTGGAATGTATATTTCTGTAATCAGTGACTCTGTATTATCTAGAATGCTCTCATTAGTATTAGAATTAACAACCGAAATTGGAACAGACTCACCTGGCTCTTGGAATTGTATTTGATCAACATGTCGATTATGTGTACTTAAGTCATTGATATCTAGAAGTCGCACCATAGATTTCCCAACATTCTTCTGAACGATCCCCGTGGATGGTCGAAGTTCATTGCCACGATAATATGTAACTTCTGCAGACTCCAAACATCTCATATTCGACCGAAGAATTTTTCCTTTTAATAGTTTTGATGGAGTCTCTTTCGTCACTGAATGTCTGGCATTTCTATATTGCAGTAGAAAGGTATCTACTCCCCTCTCCAGCTCATTAAATGTTGAGGCGGCAATAGAATCAATAGCAGTTTTCATACCTCCACTGCACTTAGCACACGTGGCTATCGAATCTTTAAGTAAAGCATCAGAATTTTCTTTAGAAACTAGGAGAGACAACTCCACTTTAAGCCTTTTCAAATTCTTTAAACCCAGTATTGACAGTCCCGTTTCGCTAACTAAGAATTCACATGGTATGTATGAGGAATCATCATCTCTTATTAGCAATTCACAACATCCTCGTATAGGCAGTCTGTGTCCAGTAATCCCCAATATTGATACATCAGTGGGTCGTATCACAACGTTCGGATCTAACAATTTCAAATTCTTGAATGAAATAATGGACTCTATACTGCCTGTGTCCACAATAAAGTCATGAAATGAACCAAGTGATGTATATAGTCGCTTTTGAATATGAGCATTACCTTTCGAAATGGTAGTTAAAGATAAATGATCATTAGGATCAGCTGAATTATTGGAATCTAAATTACAAGCTTTAGTACTACTTGAGGCAAAATGAACAGTAGCTTTGCATACTGCTTGAATGTGTCCTATCTTACCACATCTAAAACATTTAGCATTACGAAATGTACATGAATTACGAGAATGAAGTTTTCCACATGATAAACATTTGCCAAACTTGGTCTCACCTTTTTGATTTCCTTTGTAATTCTTTTTTGAGACACCGTTCATTTTTACACGAGAATAGGAACCTCTGTTAAACGAACACAATTTTGATTGACCCTGAGATTGCTTTTCATCATGACAACTAATCAAAGTATTGGAAATCTTCATCGACTGAGTATCAAGTTCATTCAACGCCTCGTAGTTAATGCACGCAGTTCTAACATCTTGAAAGGAACAGTTTGACATTCTTAACAGCTCTCTTTCCAAACTAGGTATGTTAATTCCTGCGATTAATCGGTCTCTCAGTTGCACATGAAGTTTATCACTGAAATTACACTTGACAGCCTGTTTCTGCAATTCAAGAATGAATCCCTTAACATTTTGGTCATTTTGACGAATCATCTTATGAAATTTCGCTCTTTCACGGCATTCAAAACCAGGGCACTTTACATGATTCAATAATAACTCCTTTAGCATTGCATAGGGAAGTGAAATAGGTTTTTCTGGATATGCCAAGGTTTTCAATAAGCTGTACGCTTCTTTTCCGATGAATGTTAGGAAATGAGCCACAATTTTATCATCTTTGACATCTTTCCTGGTCATACTCCAGATTTCAAACCTTTCCAAATAATCTTCAAAAGCTTCAGAAGTAGAATGAATATCTAGCTGTTCCATTACAAGTTCCATCGCGACGCCACTGTGATGCTTAGAAGTATATGAATCAAGAATTAAAGATCTGCACAAACGAATGTATTGTATTTAGAATTCGAAATCAAGCATTCCACAACGACAAGAAGTTACTAGTTCATTCAAACACCATAAATGACCAAGTTGTTTTCATGTCACGTTTTATAGAGAAAAGTTACAATCATGTTGCATTCAGATTTATAAAATATCAAAGTGATACGAGATTCGATAAAATGTTCAGTTCTGTTTCCATAGAAAAAAACTACGCTGTTAATTGATGGGGGAAAAAGTTACATATTATCTGTAAGTAAGTGGTATCAGGAAAGTATGAGTTGTTTACCTCTGAAATCTCTCTGAGATTCACAGATGCAATAGTGTAAGCCGCAAACTGACCTTAAAATAATTTATACAGATAATTTCTCAAGCACATTATCATCACATATTAGTAAAGTGATGTACCTTTAAATGATCTCTGGCTTATGATTTTAAAGGCAAATTTTCCTGATAACAAACACTTATTAAATTTCAAACTTGTATTTTATCTGAATATTTAATTTTCGTAATCACCGAAATCCTATGGAAGAAAATATTCAACTTTCTATTTCTAAAATGTTCAAACTATGAATTGAAGAATGTATTGTTGTGAATAGTTTGTGAGATTTCAATGGGAAGATATATTACTAGTTGAGGTGCTCTATAATACTGTAAAACTGACACTCGGATAAAATGCTAAGTACTTTCATTTTGTAACTCCGCCAGTAGAACCTTCGGGGCTACTGCCGGTCCCAAGCCCGGGTAAAGGAGGAGGGTTGGACATGGGGTTGGCGACCCCATTCCGTCAAAAACTAACTTGCCAAAAAAACGCTAACCAGAAAAAATAATTCAAACCATTTTAACTCTGCCCTGGGAGTTGGAGGAAGAATTATGACATCGCGTGATGAAAGCCGATTTCCCTCGGAAGTCACGGGGCTGATGCCTCTTCTGACAACTAGAGCAACCATTTTTTTAGGTACATGGAACGTTCGTACATTGTGGGAGACTGGAAGACTATTTCAAGTTGCGGCAGAAATGAAAAGATACAACCTCGAGGTGCTTGGAATCAGTGAAACACATTGGACACAAGTAGGACAACTGAGACTAGCTTCAGGGGAACTGCTGTTATACTCTGGTCATGAAGAGGAAAATGCTTCACATACACAAGGAGTTGCACTGATGCTGTCCAAACATGCACAAAAGGCACTAATAGGATGGGAATCTCATGGACCCAGGATCATTAAAGCATCCTTCAAAACAAAGAAAGAGGACATTACAATGAACGTCATCCAATGTTATGCACCTACCAATGACTACAATGACGACGTTAAAGATCGATTCTACGAAAGGCTGCAGTCAATCGTCGATAAATGTTCACCAAAGGATTTGACGATTCTTATGGGAGACCTGAATGCCAAGGTTGGAATGGACAACACTGGATATGAAGACATCATGGGACGACATGGACTGGGAGAAAGAAACGAAAACGGTGAGAGATTTGCAAACCTATGTGCCTTCAACAAACTGGTCATCGGTGGCACAATATTCCCGCACAAACGCATACACAAAGCTACATGGATTTCACCGGATCACACTACTCAAAACCAGATTGATCATATCTGTATCAACAAAACGTTCAGAAGGACTATGGAGGATGTGAGAACCAGGAGAGGAGCTGATGTAGCTTCAGATCACCATTTGCTAATCGCCAAAATGAAACTGAAACTAAAGAAGCACTGGACAACGGGACAGACAACATCGCACAAGTTTAATACGGCCTTTCTTCGGGATACTGTAAAGCTCAACGAATTCAGGATAGCCCTCACCAATAGGTTCCAGGCCTTTCAGGATCTACACAATGGAGAGGACACAACATTGGAGTACAATTGGAAAGGGATTAAGGAGGCAATCACTTCAACATGTCAGGAGGTCCTTGGTCGCAAGAAGCAGCATCATAAGGAATGGATCTCTGTTGATACTCTCGCAAAAATTGAAGAAAGGAGGAACAAGAAAGCAGCAATCAATGTCAGCCGAACAAGAGCGGAGAAAGTTACCGCACAAGCTGCATACACAGAAGCAAACAGGGAAGTGAAGAAGAGCATCAGAGCTGACAAACGAAAATACGTGGAAGATCTAGCAACGACGGCGGAAAAGGCTGCAAGGGACGGAAACTTGAGACAATTGTATGAAACTACAAAGAAGCTCGCCGGGAACTATCGTAAACCAGAACGACCAGTGAAAAACAAGGAAGGGAAAATAATCAGCAACACTGACGAACAGCGAAATAGGTGGGTGGAGCACTTTAAGGAACTATTGAATCGGCCAGCTCCTCTGAAGACACCCAACATCGAAGCAGCATCCACGGACCTCCCAATTAATATTGGCGCACCTACGATTGAGGAGATCAGTATGGCCATCAGACAAATCAAGAACGGCAAAGCAGCAGGACCAGACAACATTCCAGCAGAGGCAATGAAAGCAGATGTAGAAGCAACCGCGAAAATATTTCACGTCCTCTTCAAGAAGATTTGGGATGAGGAACAAGTACCATCAGACTGGAAGGAAGGATACCTGATCAAAATACCAAAGAAAGGCGATCTCAGCAAGTGTGAGAACTACAGAGGCATCACTCTTCTTTCAATACCAGGCAAAGTCTTAAACAGGGTATTGTTAAAGAGAATGAAGGACTTCGTAGACGCCCAACTTCGAGATCAACAGGCCGGATTTCGGAAGGATCGATCGTGTACTGACCAAATTGCTACATTACGGATCATTGTGGAACAATCAATTGAATGGAACTCACCACTCTACATCAACTTCATCGACTACGAGAAAGCATTCGATAGCGTGGACAGGAAAACACTGTGGAGGCTTCTTCGACACTACGGTGTACCTGAGAAAATAGTTAACATCATACGGAACTCTTATGATGGATTCAACTGCAAAATCGTGCACGGAGGACAGCTAACCGACTCTTTCGAGGTAAAGACCGGTGTGAGGCAAGGTTGCTTACTCTCACCCTTTCTCTTTCTCCTGGTCATCGACTGGATTATGAAAACGTCAACAGCTGGAGGGAAGCACGGTATCAACTGGACAGTTAGGACGCAGCTGGACGATCTGGACTTCGCAGATGATCTGGCTCTTCTATCGCACACTCAACAACAAATGCAAGAGAAGACGACGAGTGTAGCAGCAGCCTGTGCAGCAGTAGGTCTCAACATACATAAAGGAAAGAGCAAAATTCTCCGATGCAACACAACATGCACCAATCAAATCACTCTTGATGGAGATGCCTTGGAGGACATTAACACCTTTACATATCTGGGCAGCATCATCGACAATCAAGGTGGATCGGATGCAGATGTGAGGGCACGGATTGGCAAAGCAAGGGCTGCATTTCTACAATTGAAAAATATCTGGAACTACAAACAACTTTCAACCAAAACCAAAATAAGGATTTTCAATACAAATGTCAAGACAGTTCTATTGTATGGAGCGGAAATATGGAAAACTACCAAAGCCATCATCCAGAAGATACAAGTGTTTATTAACAGTTGTCCACGCAAAATACTTCGTATTCGTTGGCCAGACACCATCAGCAACAACAACGAACTGTGGGAGAAAACAAACCAGATTCCAGTGGAGGAGGAAATCAGGAAGAAGCGTTGGAAGTGGATAGGACACACTCTACGAAAAGCACCTAACTGCGTCACGAGACAAGCCCTCACATGGAACCCTCAAGGCAAAAGGAAAAGAGGAAGGCCAAAGAATACATTACGCCGTGAAATAGAGAAAGATATGAGAGGAATGAACAAACATTGGACAGAACTGGAGAGGGAAGCCCAGGACAGAGTTGGTTGGAGAAAACTGGTGGGCGGCCTATGCTCCATTGGGGGTAACAGGCGAAAGTAAGTAAGTAAGTACTTTCATTTTGTAGGTTCTTTCGAATTGCCTGTGTTATTTTCATAATTAATAGTAATTTAAACTTAGCTAATCTTCTCCGTAATGTGAAATATTTCTCACGTTTTTATATAAATCTTCATATCATATTGTTCTCATGTATGAACCTATTCCAGATAGAATTTGATCGTTAGTATACTTTCAGGTCAAAACAGTCCATAATGTGAACTAATTTTAATTCAATATCAGTTTTAAGATTGATGAAATGGTTTCATATATACGTATAAACGACTGGTTAAAACAGAAAAATGTCCTTGGCCTAAATAAATAAAATAAGACTGAAAATGTTTTATCAGGCTATTATGTATAGTATTTCAACTCGTTTTTCAAAATTTTCACAGCGTTTTTTAAAATAACCGAAAATTTCTTTCAAAATTTTCACAGCATTTTTGAAAATGTTTTTAAAAAAATAAAAAGAATACTATTTTTTTCAACTAAAGTCTTCTTTAGCAATCAGTTTGAATCGGTTCGAATAATCTTGTAAATCATTTGTGATTAATTGATTTAAAGAATTAAACGTAGTATTTCAACTCGTTTTTTTTTTAAATTTTCACAGCGTTTTTTAAAATAGCCAAAAATGTTTTTGATAAAAAGGGAGTAAAGGTTATGTTTTTGTCCCCTTATAGTTATATGCTTAATCCAATTGAATTCGCATTTTCAAAAATTAAATCCATTGTAAGAAGATCATTGGCAAGCGGATTTAATGAATAATTTACAAATCTTATATATTAAATTCTGTAAATCAGTTAACCACAAATGATTTATACAAGATTATTCGAGGCATATACGTCGCAATTGTTTCAAAGCGATTGCTAAAGAAGACTTTAGTTAAGAAAAATAGGATTCTTTTTATTTTGTAAAAAACATTTTAAAAAATGCTGTGAAAATTTTAGAAAACGGGTTGAAACACTATGTAAGATTTGTAAATGATTAATTTAATCCGCTTGCCATTGATCTTCATACAATGGATTTAATTTTTGAAAATGCGAATTCAATTGGATTGAGCATACAACTATAAGGGGACAAAAACATAACCTTTGCTCCCTTTTCATCAAGAAAGTTTTGGTAATATTGGAGACATGGATCTTTGCATTATCAAGGATAAAAATGCGATTCTTAAAAATTGATTTTTGATTGCGTTTTTCAATCGATTGGTCAAAAAAAATGAATGAACTTACCGGAGTTCATTGAACCAAAAAATGTTTGAGCAAAAAGAACTTCATTTTCTGTTATTGCGGAAATCAAACTTACATTAGTTGAACGTGTTGACGGACACATGGCACTTGCTGGTTTTCCTCTTGTAGATCTTCTCATAATTCTTCTCAAATACAAATTAAAGGATGATTCATCAACTAAACCTTTTATGAAGGAGTCTTCGATGTTCATAAAATCTTGCGCATATATTTGTCGTTTTATTTTACTTGATTGTGAGTTGATATTACTTACTTACTTACGCCTGTTACCCCCAATGGAGCATAGGTCGCCCACCAGTTTTCTCCAACCAACTCTGTCCTGGGCTTCCCTCTCCAGTTCTGTCCAATGTTTGTTCATTCCTCTCATATCTTTCTCTATTTCACGGCGTAATGTATTCTTTGGCCTTCCTCTTTTCCTTTTGCCTTGAGGGTTCCATGTGAGGGCTTGTCTCGTGACGCAGTTAGGTGCTTTTCGTAGAGTGTGTCCTATCCACTTCCAACGCTTCTTCCTGATTTCCTCCTCCACTGGAATCTGGTTTGTTTTCTCCCACAGTTCGTTGTTGTTGCTGATGGTGTCTGGCCAACGAATACGAAGTATTTTGCGTGGACAACTGTTAATAAACACTTGTATCTTCTGGATGATGGCTTTGGTAGTTTTCCATATTTCCGCTCCATACAATAGAACTGTCTTGACATTTGTATTGAAAATCCTTATTTTGGTTTTGGTTGAAAGTTGTTTGTAGTTCCAGATATTTTTCAATTGTAGAAATGCAGCCCTTGCTTTGCCAATCCGTGCCCTCACATCTGCATCCGATCCACCTTGATTGTCGATGATGCTGCCCAGATATGTAAAGGTGTTAATGTCCTCCAAGGCATCTCCATCAAGAGTGATTTGATTGGTGCATGTTGTGTTGCATCGGAGAATTTCGCTCTTTCCTTTATGAGAGAGTTGATATTAGTAGATATATAAAGACATTATAAGGATTATAAAAAATTTTAAAAAACGCTGTGAAAATTTTGAAACAATTTTTGGTTATTTTAAAAACCTAGTTGAAATACTACATAATGTTTATTTTATTTTTAGTGATACCTCGATGTATACAGCACCGCTCCAGTATAGCCACTTTCAATACACCACAGTATTCTGGAAATGTGTATTTTACAAAGCATGACTCATATCTCCATGTGACTGGATCTGTGTCAGGATTACCGCCTGATAAAATGTTGGGTGTTCACATACATGAATACGGTGCATTAGGTGATGATTGTAACGACGCGGGACCACATTTTAATCCGTTTAACAGGTACAGATTATGATAAAAATTTATTTAATGAGATCTACATGAAATATCATAGCTTCACACTTAATAACCGAAAAAACGGGTTATTTCTGCAGACACCGTTACAGTATTCACTCAAACTACACAATTGTCAATACTATAGGGTTGTGGTGGTGTTTCGTTCTCTGACTTGGATGTTTTAATTGTTTAAACAACTTCTAATCCAATCAAATGACTTATCGTGTGAAGAAATAGCTCATTTCTATTGACAAGGATAGACGTCTACATTGATTAGATGATTTAATCTGACTTGGCGGCAGTAGTATTCCAGGCATTATTGTTAATTACAGATTGTCTAAAGATTCTCTAAACCAATTTGTGTATATTAATTATGATAGAATAAACTCTTTTTGAGATGTAGACAAATGATAACAATAGCATCATCATTTCATCTTGGAATGCGTAAATAAGCCTAACAATTAAGTAAATAGAGTGAAAAAAACATTTACACTTCAGAATAAAGTTGATTTCGCGGAATATATTGTTTTAGTTTGGGATAACTTCCCTAAGTTCAAAAAGTAACTCCGTTTGCGACGGATAAAATAAACCCAGGAAAATTGTTTACAGCTTCAGATTTAAACAAGAATTATCTTGCGAATAATGCAAAAATCAAATATATATATATATATATATATATATAGGCGTTTAGGTTTGTGAATGAACAAATTAGGTTGTAAAATTATGCTAATGATTAGGCATACCACATGAGGTAAATCACAGAAATTTTAGCGTTTTCATTTTAGTAACTTCATGTTTAAAATGATAGTATCAATGATGTGATCATTCTGTCATTGAAAACAAACGAAAGGAAATGAATGAACTGAATATTTCTCACCATCATCATTAGTGCCGAAAATCTATTAATTATAAATAAATAATTTCTTTCAGTTAAAATTTTTGTATTGAACACTTCTGTGCACTAAAAATAATTATATCATGTAACCAATTTCAGTGATCATGGAGGACTAACAGGGCAACCAAGACATCCTGGAGATTTTGGAAATCTTTATGTAAACCATGGTGGTGTTATGAATTTCAATCTCACAGTTGATATTTCTTCTATTATTGAACATGATGGATTTATTGGCAGAGCACTAGTTATTCATGAACAAGAAGATGATTTAGGTAGGATGGGAAACGAAGGAAGTCGCAAGACAGGCAATTCCGGTAAACGTTTAACATGTGCTGTAGTTGGCATTTGGAAAGCTAAATAAACTACTTATTGGCTCTTTTTTATATCAGTTTGCAGTGAGAGTGAAAAAAAAACAATTTTTTATTCATTTAAATCGATTTCTGGCAAACAGTTGTAAAATTGTTATTGTTTTATTTCCTTTATTTGTTAAACAACTTTAAACAGTATTAAACCTAAGACAATTTACAATGGTAATAATGTTGTTCTTATTTTAATTGCGCATTAGTTATGGTTAGTTTAAAGCTATTAAGAGTTCATACTGTTGTGAAGAAATATTTGGTATGTATCATTTTCAGTTCCTAGACGACAAGTTACTTTGTACTAATATCCTCTGATATACTGAATCATTTCAAATAACATGTTTGATTATGATACCATCAGAAAATTTGCAATGAAACCAGTTAAAGTGTCACTTGATAAAGAAGAAAATATGGGAAGAAATGTTTAGTAGCAGAGTTCTGTATAGAAAACCATAAACCGGATACGTCTATAGTACTCAAATACGACACCTTGAAAGAAGCCTAAAATGAACTGTTTGTTTAATGTCATTTGATGTTCTTTTGAAAGATCATGTTTATTCAATGTAGATTACATCATGTATAAATAATTAGAATGAATAAATAAACAACTTGATCCCACATTGTTGAATTAACAAAGAATTCACTACCATAAAGATATATATGATGTGATTCATTGGATTAAGTTGTCGCCTAAAATGTATACTTACAGTTTCCTGTAATTTAATCTTAACATCATTAAAATCAAATTGTCAATATTTTGATTCTCCATCGGTATCTATTTTTTTGTAATAGGATAGATTGGAGAGAATAATCTATAAATGTACGCGCGATAAATTAGAGGAGGACTAAAACGATTGATATTAATTGACTGTTATTGTATCATTGTTTGCTTCATTCAAATACGCATTTCTACTAAGTTTATACAACTTAGTTTGAAAAGTATTATAATTAATAGATTTCGGAGACCGTGACAAATTTCACTAAAAGCTGCTACTTAATAATACAAAAGTGATTATTTAACACAGACCAGATGCATATTGCTGTCGATGGGACTTTTCTCAACTAAAGATGAGTCAGCTCTTTGTCGAAACATAACAGGATTACGGGGAATCACACTTACCGGAATGATTGGGATAGATAAAGCATAATTTAATTTTGAGCTACGCCAATATTTAAAATCATAATCTCCCAGAATTTAAATAAAAGTGTGTTGTTATTATGCAACCATGAAAAATGTTAGCGAATCGAAAAGTAAACATTACTGATTCATTACTGATTTTTCCGTCACTTGGGTCTGAAATTCTGATAACCTTAGTGCTCTATGATTTGATTGTAATTTTTTGTGGGCAAGTGAGGTTCTCAATGAAACTGAAAGAATTCCATACCTTTTAAAAATGGAAAACAATTACATGAAGGAAATAACTAACTGGTAACAATTATCATTTCCAAGCATTAGTTGATTGTAACCGTCAAAGAGGAAATGAATAGAGTTTATCTAATCTCAGAGGGATTTGATGTACAAACTCTGCATTTATTATTGTTAACACTTCTCAACTCAGCAAACTCAATACATGTTTTAAATAGCTGGAAATATCTTTGAATAAATGCTCCATTATTTTTAAATACGTTTTCTGAGTAAGAAACGAATTAGAACTAATTTTAACTTGTGTGAAATCTGTGCAAAAATCAATATTCAGCTCTCAGTAAAAACTGCAGTCGATTTACTGATTTTTCCGTTTACGTTTGAGTTAGCTTTCTTATGCAGTTGACTAAGCTTACTATTTTTGCAGTAGTTATTTCAATTAATGTTGACATGTGACAAGAAATAAGCCTGTATTTAGATTGTTCTGACATGTATAAAGCTATGCTGTTAGGCTAAGTAAGAGGTGATTTGTGCCAGTTTGTTAAAGATTAATATTATTTTTTAAATAAACAAAACAATTAACATGAATTAATTTTTTTCTTTTTTTCTCATCAGCTGATTTAATTCTAAACAAAAGAATTAATCTGAAAAAAAACAGCTTACGTAATTTACATGATAATATCGGGAAAGTTCTTATCAGAGAAAGTTAATAAAATAGCGATAAAGATTATGATAAAAAAAGTTTTGATGTGCTAAATAATCTGATTATTTATAGATTGAATATAAGAGTATTGTGGAATAATTAACTCAGAACAAACAAACAGAATTATTTGGCAATAAAACATTAATGTCATAGTAATGTAACTATGACAACAAGATTGACTGATAAGAATTGGCAGTAATTAATCAGTCACATAAACAATTACGTAACAACACTTATGTGTAAGGTGATCGTATGGAAGCAATATTGATAGCAGATGCTTGATTTAAATCTTCTTAAAGAAATCATATCAACGATGTTCTTTGTTTCTTTCAAATGCGATTTGTTTGGTTCACATTGTGTTGTATCGGAGAATCTTGCTTTTCACTTTATGTATGTTGAGACCTGCTGAGGATTCTGCTACACTGATTGTCTTCTCTCGCAATTGTTCTTGCATGTGTGATAGAAGAGTTAGATCATTTCCAAAGTTTAGATCGTCCAGCTGGGTCCTAGTTGTCCACTGTATTCCGTGCTTCTCTCCATATACTGACGTCTTCATAATCCAGCAGATTACCAGGTTAAAGAGAAAGGGTGAGAGTAAGCAACCTTGCATCACACTGGTCTTCACCTTCAACGAGCTTGTCAGCTGATTTCTATGCACGATTTTTCAATTTAATCCATCATAATAATTCCGTATGATGTTGACTATTTTCTCAGGAACGCCGTAGTGTCAAAGAAACCTCTATTATGTTGTCCTGTCCATGCTATCAGCTGCCTTCTTGTAGTCACTGAAGTTGATGTAGAATGGTGAGTTCCATTCAACTGATTGTTTCACAATGATCTTTACGGAATCCAACCTGTCTATCTCGAAGTTGGGCACCTACGAAGTCCTTCATTCTGTTTAACAATGCCTTGCTCAAGACTTTGCGTGGTATTGAGAGAACAGTGTTTCTTTGGTATTCTGATGAAATTTTTTTCTTTCCGGTTTGTTGGTACTAGCTCTTTATCCCGAATCTTGTTGAAGAGAATGTGGAATATTATTGCAGTAACTGCTACGTTTGCTTTTATTGCCTCTGCTGGAATGTTGTCTGGCTCCGCTGATTGCCGCTCTTGATCTTTCTGATGGCCATACAGATCCCTCTAACCGTTGGTGGGGCTACATTGATTGTGCAGTCCATGGGTTCTACTTTGATGTTGGGTGGGTTAAGCGTGGCTGGTCGATTCAAGAGTTCCTTAAAGCTCCCTAGCCACCAGTTTCGTTGCTCTTCAATTTCATTGGTTGATTTGCCTTTCTCGCTTTTCACAGGTCGTTCTCGTTTACGATAATTTCCAGCGAGATTCTTTGTTCTCATGTTTCCTTCTCTGGCAGCCTTATTCGCCGTCATTGTTCGCTCTTCTACATATGCACGATTGTCGGCTGTGATGCTACTCTTGACTTGCTTGTATGCTTCTGTGTATTCAGCTTGTGCATCGGCTTTCTCTGCTCTTGTTCAGATGATGTTGCTTGCTGCCTTCTTGTCTCCTCCTTTCTCGAATCTTGTCTCGAGGAACCATTGAGATCCATTACATGATATGGTGCTTCTTGTGTTACGGGAACTCATGACATGTTGAATGTATTGCTCTCATGATTCAAATGCTAACCAAGAAACATAATTCGAAGCATTAAAACTTTGCCTTAGCAGTAATATGATCTTCATTGAGAAGAGTTATGACGTCGCATGCAGAAGACCGAGTTCCTTCGGTAGTTACGAGGCTGATGCCCATTCTTACTACCAGAGCACTTCCATTGTGTTAGCAGCCAGTTAGTGGCATCTACCCCTGTACACATAATATCACACGAGACCACACTGTTCACAATCTAGTCCTTCTTACACCTCATAACATCCTTCCCATCTCTATAACTAACCTTTCCGTCATTCCTTGGTCACCGCGTGCCGCTAGTACAAGCCACTCAAGTGCACGAGACATAATTCCTGGTTCCTGAAACCCAGTCCGAAACTGAATTTTGAAGCGTTTAATGTCCGAATATCATGTTAAGTAGGGCAACAAGCTTCATTATAAACGACATACGAATCCCACGCAATAGATTGATGCTGCGTTTTAGAAATGCATATACGCGATCCGAGTACAGTGATTCAATTGACTTTGCGTTGTACAAATAAAGATTCAACTCGGTTGACGCTTCGTGTATCTGGAAACCTTACTGATGCTTCCCGTAACGTTTCTGATGTAGGTTTAGCATTAAGTCTTAGGGCATAACTAGGTCTCTTAGAGTGGATCCAGTTACATAGTCGCTTGTGCGCTATACGACTAAACGGGACAGAAAGGACTCGTAAAGATACAGATACTCGCAGTTGCCTATTTGTTGTCTCTGCATACTCTCTAACTGACTGCAGATCAGGTGCGGTGAAGACGAGTTTTACAGAAAGCTTTCTAAACTTCTCCAAAATATTGGGCGCTTTGATGTAGTAATAATGGTTGGTGACTTCAGTGCTCAAGTAAGTAGGTTAAACGAAAATGAAAGACATCTGGGTGGATCTGGATTCTTTACTCCAAGTGGTGTCCGTCAGGGATGTCCAATTTCTCCATTCTTGTATAACTTTTCACAGACATGCACCTACATATAACATTATCTTCGTCTGACTCTTCACGCGTAGACCTTCAACTAGGAGACACGCTTGCTGACTTAGAGTACTCCGATGACATATTTCTATTCGGTGGAGACGCTGACAGAATGTAGACGCTTCTGAACACGTTAGACAACAATACAAGCATGTTTGAAATTCCATTCTCCCTGTTGAAATGCAAAGTGATGCTTCGGAATGGGCTTGTTTCCATACCTAAGGTAGTCTGAGGTGGTGAAGTAGTTGAGTGTGTTGACTGTTTGACTAATCTTGGGAGTCTCATTACCCCTGATGACCTGGCGTCTGATGAAATGTCGACTAGGATACAAAAGGCCCAACTGGCTTTTGCCAGCTTGCGTCACTTATCGAGTAAGTGAGACATCCGTTTGCTGACCGAGTCTACTGTGCAGCAGCTTGCTCCTTCTTACTGTGTGGATGCGAAACATAGCCAGTAAAAGTAGAATATATTTGTGGGTATTTGTATTTGATCATATGTGTATTCGAATTATTGCTCATGTATCCTGGAACAACCGAGT